TGCTGCTACTAAGCAATGGTGGTGAAGGGATGGAATGTTGAAAATGGAGCCAATCAAGCAGTCTGCTTTATCTTGGATGGTGTCAAGCTTGTTGAGTGTTGTTGGAGATGCACCCATCCAGGCAAGTGGAGAGTATTCCATCACACTCCTGACTTGTGCCTTGTTGGGGATGAACAGGCTTTGGGGATTCAGGAGGTGAGTTAATTGCCATAGGATGACTAACCTCTGACCTTCTCTTGTAGCCACAGTTATTTCTATGGCTAGTTCAGTTCAGTTCTAGTCCACAGTAATTGCAGACTGTTGAGAGTAGGAATTCAGTGACAGTAATGCCATTAAATTTCATGCCTGGGCAGTGGATTTAACCAGAAGGAATAAACATTTTTTATGCTGGTTTGTGTTAAGTGCTGGGATTTCACATATTTTTATTGAATAATTTCCTGCCTGTTTTGTGGAGGGGTGGGGAAGGTTTATAACTGTTTCCAGTCAGAAATCATTTCCTCAATCCTTCTCGTAACACTTTTTGGCCACCCCTTCCTTGTCTTCCTTCCTCTGTGATAGGATTGTAATGACTTAACCTCATGCTATTGACACAAGCTTTCTGGCTTTTTCTGAAATGCTTCAGTTTATTATGAATATATTTAAAGTCATAAAGTCATACAGCACAGATACAGACCCTTCGAGTCCAACTTGTCCATGCCAACCAGGTAACCTGAAGTGAACTAGGCCCACTTGCCTCCATTTGGCCCATATCCCTTGAAACATTTCCTATCTGTGTATCTGTCCAAAGATCTTTTAAATGTTGTAATTGTACCTGCCTCTACTGCTTCCTCTGGCAGCTCCTTTCACATATATACACCACCCTCTGCATGAAAATGTTGTCCCTCATTTTTAGGTAGAGTTTTGAAAAGGTGATAAAGTCCTTTTGGAATGCTCTTCTTGGGGTGAGGAGGTGGTGGACGGAGTGAGGAGTTATGATGGGGAGAAGTGTGCTTTTCATTTCAAAAGGAATTGTGGCCTATGTCCTGAGTTTATTTGGCACTCTCCCGCCTGTATGAAAGCTCACAGTCACACCGATGGACCAATCGTGGCTTCATGTCCAGTAATGTCTCCTATGCTTTGTGCCCTTTGGCCCAACTTGCCCATGCTGCCCAATTAAACTAGTCCCAGGAATAGCAGTCTCAGCTCAGCATGGCAGTCTTCTATGGTAGAGACCTCTGGCCCAGTATTCCATTGGCTCAACGTGGTGGTCTCATCCAAGCTGTGTCTTCCAGGTATTCCATCATTCCTTAACCAGTTTTCCCTGAGCCCAGGAGCCATTAACTGAACTGTGATGAACTTTGTCTGAATTTTACTTTTTTTCATTATTATTATGTAGGACTTCTGTCACTAATATAGGTGCACGGAGGGGAAACTTATAAAACTTTTCACTGTTTTTTTTTGTAGAAGTACACGTGACAATAAATTTCTACTCTATTCTATTGTATTTCACAATTCCCACCTAATGTTATGAAATTCCTCTCTGCGTCTCCTCCAAACTGCCAGGATGATCTCTCTCTCTCTAGATAGTTGGAGACTCTTGGTTCCGCAGAAAGGAATTTATCCAGACTCTTTCAACAGTGGTTTTGCTGACTTGACTTGTTTCCTCAGCAATTAGAGAGACAGAGAGAGAGAAAGAGTGCAAGTTCTCAGCCATGTCTATTCAGAGCACAGTTTAGCACTGAAGTCTCAAAATGAGATAGATCTGTCTTGCCAAGCACTTCCCAAGAACAGGTAGTTTCTTCCAGGTGGCTGTATAATCTCAGCACCTCACACCAGTGAAGACCTTTTTTAAAATGCAGTGACTATTGTAATGTCAGAAACACAGCAGCCTGTTCTGCCCCAGTGAGCTGCCTCTAACAGCAATGTGAGAATAATCAGTCAGCTGATTAGTTGATGCTTGACAAAGGATAAACACTGGTCAGGAAACTGACTAGCACTTCCGCTGAAACTGACCAGGCCTTGGAAAGTCACACAAAAAGAGGGCACCTCTGATAATGGGGCATACCTACTAATGAGCCTGCCGGTTCGGGGGAGCAAGCAGAGTGCTCTGTCCTGTTAAAAACGGGCATCCATCTGATGAGCTGCTGTGCGACAATGGGGAGCTTCACTGACTCAAAGTGAACCCCATTTCAACACAATTGATACTTGAGCAGTGAACATCGCACAATGGAGGGTGAAACACAGTCCCCTTGGGCTTGTCGTTTCCTGCCCAACCCCTCGGTGGGTGGTTAGTGGGCGGGGGGGGGGGGGCGCGGTGGGCGGTGTTGTCAGCATATTTTCAGCAAAATTTCTGTAAAACTGATGTTTTTCTGAAAAGTGCAACAAATCTGTTCAGGGTTTGTTGTAGAGGGGGGTCTTGGTGGGGAGCAAGGTGTTTTCCTCCAAATGGTTTGAGTCATGTCTGATGGAAATCTCTATCCAGATTTTGAATTGATCTCTTGGGGTCCCCTTAATTTATTGCTGAAAATGAAACCTCAACAAGGGGAAGCGTGGGGACTTCCCACACCTGGGCAGAGATGTAAATAAAGTTTAATTCAGATGAATATGGAGACACAATGCAAGGCAAAGAGTCCTATTTGAAAGCAGGATCCAAGGGACTTAGGTATCATGGAGTCATAGAGTCACACCGCACGGAAACAGGCCCTTCAAAACAACTCGTCCATACCGACCAAGTTTCCTAAATTGAACTCGTCCCATTTGCCTGTGTTTGACCCATATCCCTGTAAACATTTCCTATCCATGTACCTGTTCAAATGTCCTTTAAATGTTGTAATTATACACAACTCCACCACTTCTTCTGGCAGCTCATTCCATACATACACCACCGTCTGTGTGAAAACATTGCCTTCAGGTCCCTTTTAAATCGCCTCCCTCTCACCTTAATCTTATTTCCTGTAGTTTTGGGCTCCCCTACCCTGGGAAAAAGACCATGTCTATTCACCCTATCCATACCGTCATGATTTTATAAACTCCTATAAGGTCACCCCCTCAGCCTCCTACATTCCAGGGAAACAAGTCAGAGATTCATTGGGTGGGTATGAGTATTCGGCATTAAAGGTTCCAGAACAGATAGAGCTGTTCATAAAGCAAGCAGTATTCTCAGCTCCATCATTCCTGATTTTAGTCACTCCATTTTCATGTTTTCAACTCCCGTTTCCCCCAAATCAGGAGTTGCCTCCCCAAAACCCCACCTCCTCAAGGTACTCCTTAAAATCCACCCCTTTGTCCAAGACCCTGATTTTCCATTCTGATTTCACCTTGTGTTCCAGATTTCAAATGTCACAATGGAGCAGAGAATCTGGTGTTGGTCAGTGTTTGCTGGGGACAAGTGAGGCCCCGGGTCACCAGGCAGAACTCTTCTTCAAAGTGGTTATCTTCTGATACGTGCGTACAATTAGGAGGAGGCCATTCAGCCCCTCAACTCTGCTCTCCCTTGAAATAAGATCTTAGCTGATCTGTCTGTGGCCTTGCCTCTGGTCCCCTGCCTACCCATCCCGATATCCTTCGACTCCTTTGTTACTGAAGTATCTCAGTCTACCCGTCTGCCTTAAAAACGCTCAATGAATCGACCCATACCACAAAAACACAAAACCCATGGGGAGGAAGAAACATTGCACCCCAGCTTAAGGGGGGGCATTTTTAAACTTAAAACTGTACATCTGAAATTTTTCACATCGCAATTGAGGAAGCACTTGCAGTTTAACCTAATTTTCCTGGGATGGAGCATTTCAATGATGAAGAGAAGCTGGATAAGTTTAGGTTCTTTTCTTTGGAGCAGAGAATGTTGAGCAGGAGCCTGACAGAAGTGTATAAGGTTATGAGTAACATTGGCAGGATTGTTTCCTTAATTAAAGAGTCCATACTAACATGAAGAGCTCTGGTGATGTAATGATAGTATTCCTACCTCTGAGCCAGAAGGGCCTGGGTTCAAGTCTCATCTACTTTACCAGCATGTGGTACACTTCTGAACAAGCTAATTAAAAGTTTCTCTACTCATGGGGCTCTCTTTTTTTTCACCCAGAGTGTGGTGCGAATCTGGAATGGATTGTCTGGCAGGGTAATAGAGGAGGAAGACCTTATAACCTTTAATAAGTGCATGTATGAACACTTGATGTGTCATAACATTCACGGCTATGGGCCTAGTGTGGGAAAATGGCACTAGTATAGATTTAGAGTAGGTTTTATTTTAACCAGTGAGACTGGATGGGCTGAATGTCATCTATTGCACAGTATGATTCCATGATCAACTGTGTTTACAATATCACCAAGAGGGCAGCAGTAAACTCAGACAATTAGCTTACGTTCACAATGCTGTGTCAAGACAACAGCCATGAGGAAAGTGGGGAATGAGAACACTTGGCCACAGCTGGCTGTCAATAACAGCTGACCCTGTTATCAAGTAACTCTCTGAGTTACCAATACTGTTACAATTAGGGTCAGTCCGAATCCAACCCTTTAGTAATCAAAGTAGTCAGTTCCAAGGAAAAACTCACAATCTATGACAGTTGCCAGTCATAAAGTTTCAGTTCTTTTTTAACTTTCAAAATATGTATTATTTATAAAAATATCTTTATATATAAATGGTCACTAAAGCAGTTCAGTTCCGTACAGCAGCGTATAAAGATACAAACAAACATTGGAGTTTAACTATCCAACAAATCCAAGGTGTTTCTTACTCGTACAGGACTATTCTCGGTGTTTGTGTTATTCCTTTATGAAACAGAATTGAGCTGACAGCTGGCACCTTCTGCTGAATGAACACCCCACTAACTCTATCCGTTCTATGTGAAGCGATTAACCAGAGTGTGAGGGAAGGAGGAGTAACTGGATTTGGAAATAATGGCACTTGTTAGCAGTAATTGCCGGAAGAGGGAATTGCAGTGTCAAACTGCTCCTGATTGGCTTCTGTTTGCTCTCAATAAATTGTGGACTGAGGCAGAGGTTGGAAGGTAAAGAGGGTTTGAAATGGATGATTGGTTGTATTTACTAACATGCAAATCACCAGCAGGGCTCTTACAACTGAAGAGACAGCAGTTGCAGAAGCTCTGTAAAAAGCTGGGTTTAAAGGCCAGTGGCAAGGTAATGAGGGAATATTTACCCTGGGGATGAGGGCTCCCCTGCTCTCTTGTGGATGTGGCCCAGTCAAGGGCTCTGAGTCAATGTTATTCTGGAAGGTTGGAATGTCTGAGTGATTGTGACTCTAAATTTATGGGTTCAAATCTCTTGGACTCTGTCTTAAACCTGGGATTGCTAACTGGGGTGGTGTGAGTCAAGCTGCATGACTTTCTGATGTGAAGGAGGAGGAATGAGTTTGTCATTGTCACTGCTCTTGAGCTTTGGTGTGTTGCTTTCTTTTTACAGATGAGTGATTAAGATTATTTGGCTTCTTTTCAAAATTGTCCCTTGTATATCTAAAAGTCTATTTTAATCCCCAGAATGTTGATCTGATTTCACGGCTATCTGAACATATCAAGGAACCCATTAGAGATGAGGTAAGTGTCTCTTGGGACAGTGATAAGCTAAGCAATGTGCTCCTCTGATTAATAACATGGGATTGCTTTTCTTGCTCCAGTGTATCTAGCTAGGACTGGTAAACAGGAGCCTTCATTCTCTACTGCCTTTATAAGATAGCACTTTGTGCAGTGCTGCATTCTGTTGCTGCTACCCTGGCAAGTGTGCATGTATGTGTCCACTAACTGCCCCAGCAAACTTAACCTCTGAAAATAAGGGACCCTGTTTGGCTTTTTTTTTCTCTTGTTTTGTTTGCTTTTGGGTGTATGAGTCTCTGGCTGGGCCAATGATTGTCTGTCCCTAATTACCTTGAGAGCTGTGGTGTGCTGCTTCCTTAAACTGCTGTAGTCTTTTGAATAGAGGGATGTGAATGGTGTGAGCAAGGAGTGCTAGGATTTTTTTCCCAGCAACACTGAACGAACAGAGCTATTTCCAAGTCAGGAAGGTGTATGGTTTGGAGGGGAGCTTGCGGAGAGCGGTATTCCTGTGGCTTTATCCACAAGAGTGGCCATGGGTTTAGAAGATACTCCAAAGGAGCTTGAGTTGCTGCAGTCCATCTTGTTAATGATACAGAGTGTTGCTGGTGTCGGCAGTGAGTGTTGAAGCTGGTGGGTTAACTGTTGATCAAGTAGGACATACTGGGTATAACTAACAAGTGGTAGACTGCCTGGGTTAGGTGCTGGTGTCATCACTTGGATGATGTGCTTTATTTTTCTGATCATATTGGAAATCCCTATCTTGCAGGGGTGGACTTGTATGGTCCCTCAGGAATAGCCCCTTTCTCTGATTATACACCCAGACCTGGTGCCTGCTGGTTTAGATAAACCTGCTCAAACCTCCATCTGAAAGCTTGGGAGTCTAATGCCTTCCTGGCTAAACTGTGATCTTGACATCATGGATCTGGTATCTGGGATGAAACCAGCAATGCAGAATATTCCTGCTGTAGTGACTTGTCTTTTTTCTTTGTTCTGATGGAACAGTAAAACACAACACCTAACTGTTTGCAAGTTTCCACATAATTCCAGCTTAATTGGTTTAATTTCTGATACCAGTGACTATCTAATGCCCTGTTTGGCTCCAACCTGATCAGTTGTCTTTGAACAGCCCACTCGTCTAGCACACACCTAAATAACCAAACTGGAGTTGATGGCTGAACACTGTCCTGAAACTACACAACCTTAACCAGGCTGGTGTTGACTGATCAGTTGAATGGTGGATTTGGGAGTCTGTTCGGCTCTCTTCCAAAAAGTGAAACTTGTATTCAGAAACCACCTTCTCAAACCTGGTGAGCCACCTAGATGTGTAACGATGCTTTTGTGTACAGTAAAAAGGCTGCTGCACTTTACGCAATGACCGCGTACCCCTGGTGATAGATTAGTGTTCCAGACTAGACTTTGCTTAACTCTGGGAGGTGGCTCGGGTGAACAGCAATATGTCAGAAATCGGGAGCTGAAGCATCGCTTGGAGGTGCTGAGCCTTTCTCGACTCCACGGCCCACTGAAAGGAGTGGTAGCTCTTGATTAGATCTCTGTATAAAACAGACTGCAACTAATTGATATGTAAGTGGTTGTGAATTCTGATGGTTGAAGCCTGGGTTTTTTTAAAAGTGGGAATTATTTGCATCTAGCTTAAAGGGCAGTTTGACCCAGTTATCATGGGTAATCACTTTTGATCTGAACTCGTAACCTCTTTCACTTTGTACCCCACCAGCTCCTGAGTGGAGATAATGCAAGTCTTATTGACCTAAATCTCAGGGCAGTGTCTGCTCTGACAGTAGTTGGGTGGTATAGTGGCTCAGTGGTTAGCACTGCCTTGCTGTGCCAGGAAAACTGGTTTGATTCTAGTCTCGGGTGACTCCAGGTCCTCTGGTTTCCTTGCACAGTCCAAAGATGTGCAGGTTAGATGGATTGGTCATGCTAATCTGCCTGCAGGCTGGAGGGTTAGCCATAGAAAGTAGGGGGTTACAGGGCAGGGGGAGAAGGTCGAGGTGGGATGCTCTTGTGTCAGTATGGATCCAACAGGCTGAATGGCTTGCTTCCACCCTGTGTAGGGATTCTATTAAGTTGCTGACTGTGGTTTGTTTTTTCTTCTCAGCCTGTCTCTCATTCTCCACTTCCTCTTGTGGTAAAGGAAGAAGTTAGCTCTCCATTTGGAGAAGAATCTGAGGACCATTATGAAGCTGCTGCCTGCTGCCAGGTTGAGAAACAAAGTGAAATAAGGAGTGAGTGCTTACTGCTTCAGGAAGCTGGGCTGTGGGGCATGTTCGAGGTGGTGAAGTTAATTGATATTCAATGATGTCAGATTGAACTTGTGACTCAAATCATCTATTTTCTTTGTTTTTTTTTTGTGAAGCGTCTGAGTTTGGAGTAGAAACTGGGTAAAACACTCTCCTTTGTCTTCCCCCCTCTCCTGTTTGCCATCAGGTGACTCTGGCTGGTGTGTCGTTCACGGAATGGAGATTGATGTTCCTGGCCAGATCTGGTGTCCCCTGATCCTGAAGAGTGGCCGAATATTGGTTGCTGCTGGAGATGTGCTCATCCCATTCTACTTGACCCCAGCAGCTGTGGAGACTCCAGCCCATCTGGAGGACAACAGGATCTGTGCCGAGTGCTTCCAATTGTAAGGCTGCAGACTGTTTGTTTCCTGTCACAATTTTCGCTAAGCGCATGGGATGCGTCTCCATATTCGGTGCCTTGATCTGTTGAGGGCTGCCCAATGGTTATAGTCATTGTGGGTCGGTATACTCAGGAAGGCTGGCACTGCTGGTGGTGACCATCCTGGTCTATCCTATAGCAATGGATGGTCACATTGTAACTGAAGGGGAATGTTGTGAAATATTTTCCAAAGTCCTCTTCTACAATTAGAAACATACCTCAAACAGCCTGAATTTAATGCCCTGTCACTTGCTAAGAATGTTTTGACTGTGATTGCCACATATCTATCTTGGCAAGACCAGACTGCCCCCTCCAGGTATTTTCAGGAGGTTTTGGGAATAGACTCCAAAATTCTGATAGCAGCAGTTGAATGTGGGGACAAACATGGTAATCTGTGCCTTGTGAGGGGCTATTTAGAGATGAGGGAAAAGGTTGGGATTTATCTTCTCTGTATTTATTGTTTCTTATATACTTTGAAATGTGGCTGGAACAGCACTTTATTGCCCATCCTTATGTACCATTGAGCTGTTGCCTTGAACCACTGCTGGCACCACGCTAGAGGTAGACCCACATTATGCTTAGGGAGGGAGTTCCAGGATTTTGACCCAGTAACACTGAAGGAACAGCAATTATATCTCCAACTTAGGATGGTGAGGAAAACTTTGCAGGTGGTGTTCCCAAGAATCTCCTGCTCTGAAGAGCTGCAGTTTGGAAGGTGTTTAAATTGCCTTGGTGAATTTCTGCAGTGCATCTTGGTAGTACCAGTCAAGTGGGCTGCTTTTTCCTAGATGGTATCAATCTTCCCGAGAGGAGTGTGATAGAATATTCCCCACTTGCCTGGGGCTGAGCTCCTTCAACAACAGACCTGTGCCTTGAAGATGATGGACAGTTTGATATACTGGGTGCATTACTGGCTGCAGGATTCCTAACTTTTGACCTGCTCTTGCAGCCACTTTTTGTGGCTGGTCCAGTTCACTTTCTGGTTGATGGCCTCCAAGAGGCCGGTAATGGTGACTTGATGGCTATGTCAATGGAAGGTGGTTAGATTCCCATTTGTTGAAGCTGGTCATTGTCCACCATTTGTGGTGTGAATTGTTACTTGTTAAACCAAGCCTGGATATTGTCTAAGTCTTACTGCATTTTGACATGGACTATTCCAGTATTGGAGGATTTGTGAATGATGCTGAACATAGTGGGATGTGCACTCACTGCACAAACGGGAACTACTGTCTCTGAACTCTTGTTATCTCACTTGTGAAGATATCCCACTTTCCAGCTGTCCCTTTGCCTCCGCCAGTCAAATTTTGAAGGCTCCTGCCTAATACTGTCTAAATTGGCCACCTTCCAGTTTAGATCTTGCAGACCAGGTCTGTACTTTTCCAAAACTATATTCTAAAACTAATAGAATTATGGTTGCTGGCACCTCAGTCACTTGCCCTGCTGTTTTTTTTCCAAAGAGACTGTCATGTTTTGCTCCTTCTCTAGTCGTACATCCACATTGTACAATAAAATTCTTATTCCCATAAACCAATTCCTCTCCATCCAAGTCCTTAATGTTAAGACAGACCCAGTCTTTTTGGAAAGTAAAATTCTCTACCATTATGACCCTATCATTCTTGCAGATAGAGATCTCCTTACAAATTTGCATTTCTTTTCCTGTTGATTATTGGAGGGGCCTATAGTACAATTCCAAATAAAGTGATCATCCCTCTTTTTTTATTTCCAGTTCCACCCATATAATTGGACATGCTCACTGGAATATCTTCCCTAAGAACAGCCATAACAATATCATTAACTAAAAACACCACTCCCTTCCTCTCAGGACCCCACCCTATGTTTCTATCCTTCCCATCGCAGCCATACCCTGGAACATTAAGCTGCCAATACTGTCCATCCCTTAGCCATGTTTCTTCAGTAGCTATGATATCCCAGTCCCACGTTCCCAATAATACCCTCGGTTTATCTGCCTTACCTGTCCGGCCTCTTGCATTGAAATAAATGCAGTTTAATTTTTCAGACTTGCTTCATTCTCTCTGCCATAATCTTGCCTACTTAACTTGCTCCTCTTAGCTGCTGTGTCAGCCCCAGACTTGTCTCTTTTCCCACTATCTCTAGGGGCCCCCCACCCCAATCGCATCACTCATTTAAAGCCTCCTGAGTAGCATGGGAAAATGTTTTCCCTCACCCCCACACACAGCACATTGATCCTCTTCCAATTCAAGTGCAAACTGTCCTTCTTTTGCATGTCACTTCTACTCCTGAAGAGATTCCAATGATTTAAAAAAAAAATGAATCCTTGTCTCTTTACATCAATTCCTTGACCACACATTCCTCTTCCCCTATGCTCTTATTCCTACCCTAGTATATGGCACCAGGAGTAATCCAGGTATTCCTACCCTCAAACCTACTTTGTAACCTCCTGCCTAATTTCCTATACTTTGTCCTCAACCTCATGCCTTTCTCTTCCTGTGTCACTGGCACCAATGTGCACAAAGATCTTCTGCTGGTCACTGTCTCCCCTTTGAGAAATACTGTGCACCCTCTCAGACGTCATTGACTGAGGCAATAACATTCTGGTGTCTTCCTGTTAGCTGCAGAAACATCTGCCTGTCTCTGTCTGGTGTCCCCATCACAATTAATTGCTTGGAACCTGACATACCCCTCATTACAGGAGAGCCAGTCTCTGTACCAAAAACCTGGGAGTCCATCACCTCTATGGTTTCAAACAGCATTCTTGTTTGAGATGGGGATAGCCATGGGAGACTGCTGCACTACCTACCTGCCTACCTTTCCTAGAGGTAATCCCTCTATCTGATTCTGTACCTGCAGTTTTCTCTACCTTCCTGAAACTGTCATCCACCATACCCCCAGCTCCTGTAAACTTCTCATTGCTTCTAACTGCCACACCAACTCCTACATGCGAACCAATAGGATTCGCAACCAAACACAGTTCCTGCATGCATAATCTCCAGGAACACTTTCAATTCTCCCTGATCTCCAACATCTGACAGAGCATATGACACTACAAAAAGCCATCTCTGTTCTTTTAGCAATCTATAGACCCAAAAAATCAAAACAACATTTCTCAAAAGCTCAGTTCAGTCTTACTGATCTGGGGTGATCTTGATGCATATCTTTTTTTATATTAAAAGCCAATAGACAGATCTTGGTAAAACAAATGCCTTCACCCTAGCTACTAGATATTTAGACAACTACAAACTTACGATTTTAGGTTTTGAGTCTTAAAATCAAACAGTCTGACCAATTGAAATATCACTGATCTCCCACAGCTACATTGTGCAATTCTGGTATTTGGCCTTGCAATGTCAGCTGTGAAATTATATTGTTTTGCTTGCTGACCTCTAGAGTCAGTTGTAGTTCTTTGGTCTTCAACCTTACCATGTGGTTGCTCTCCATTCCTTCCGTGTAAAGTACTGTTATTTTTGATCACTTTAAGTTCCAAACACTTCAGTACTCTGCCAAGATGTTGTCAGGGCCCACAGCTTTTGCAGTATCTGGTAACTATTTCTCTATCAAATGGTGTGATTTGAATTGGCTCAAGACTGGTATCTGCAATGACCACTGGTGGATCATCTACTTGGCACTACTGGCTGAAGATAGCTAGAAATGCATCAGCCTTGCCTCTTGCACTGATGTGTTGGGCTCCCACACTGTTGAGGATGGGGATATTTGGAGCCTCCAGTGAGCTGTTTCATTGTCCACACCATCCATGACAGTTGTGGCAGGACTAGAGAGCTTAGATCTGATCCATTGGTTGTGAGATCACTTAGCTCTGTCTGTCACATGCTGTTTGGTTCTACTGGGTTGACAACTCACTTTCAGGTATACTCAGTGCTGTTCCTGGCATACCCTCCTGCACTCTCCATTGAGCCAGGGTTGATCCCCTGTTGAGTGGGGGATGTCAGGCCGTGAGGTTCCAGATTGTGCTGGAGCACAATGCTGTTGTTTGGCCTGCAGTGCCTTGTGGATGTCCATGTTGAATCTGTTCAATGTGCCATGCAACATGAGGCTATTCTCCATGTGAAGGGTGCAGACGTTGTCTCTATGAGGACTGAGTGGCTGTCACACTTGATACTGTTCTGGGCAGATCTATCTGCTGTTGGCAGATTGGAGGATGAGGTGCAGTGTGGTTTTTCTCAGTTACCTCACCACCTGCTGCAGACCCAGTTGGAAAGCTAATGTCCTCAGATTGCCTGACCAATGTTACTGCTGAGCCAACCCTGGTGATGGACAATAAAATCCCTCACCCTTTGGTGCTTTCTCAGAATGTTTAACATACCATCCTCCCTCAGGAGATGAATCCATGGTAATGAACAGAGGCTTTCTTGCCCACGTTTAACCTGATGCCATGAGACTTCATGAGGACCAGGGTCAATGTGCACTTCCAGGGCAACTCTCTTGACTGGGAATGTCACAGGGTAAACCCTACAAGTGGGATGGGACATAGACAAGAGTGGTGTCTGGGACATGTGAGGTATATTGGCTGTTGACTGGCTTTTTTTGGTCTTGGAGGGCACTCTCTCTTCCAGAAGGTGGTAAGAGGACTGTAGTTTTCAATATGGCTGGCAGTTTTCCTTTCCAGTGGCTTCATCTAGCTTGCTGTTCCCTTTTTTCTTTTGCTTGATGCAACAGAGTAGTTGAGTTGATCAGTAATCTGCAGTCATGTGAAGGATGACAGTTTTCATTCCCTAAAAAGATTTCTGGTGAATCAGTTGGGTTTTTCACTACAGCAGTTTCGCAGTCATTTAGACTTTCAATTCCCGGTGTGTTTTTTTTATTGAATAAGAATTCCTCCATCTGGCACAAAGTTTGAACCGAGGACACCAGTCTCATTACAAGTCCAGTAGCAGCCCCATGTCACTTCTGTACATCCCCATAAAATCCTTTAGGATTCTGGTAACAGATGTATCCTATTATACACTGGCCTTTCAGAAGGATGAATTCTGTTTGCTCAGCATCCCTACATAGCACAGCAGTGCGTGTTGCAGTGTTAATATCAGTGTGGAATTTCCAACTTCTGACTCGACTTTTCTCCTTCAGGCTTTTTCAAGTCAACATAATTTCTAATTCTGTTTAATTAAACATGTATTGGTACTAAATAGTTCCTCGTGTTATCTCAAACTTGTCATCTCCTCCCTTCTAGAAATCAAAAGAAGAACTCTACAATACAGATTTCCTATTCCCAACAATATTCAGGTAATTGATTTCTAGGGGCAAAGCAGGAGAAACTCTGCTTTTGGAACAAAACTTAAGATGAGTCTGCATTAGGTGGTAGGGGAGGGCATGTGTGAATAACTGGTTTTGACCAATGAGTTCATAATCTCTCAAAGTCTATTTCTGCCAAGTAAACTCTTTCATGCCACACACAATCTTGATACTTTAAAGTGCAGTTTTCTATTCTTGCATTTAATGGAACAGTGTGATGACTGCTGCTACAGTACATGTCCTAACTGAATTAAATATTGCCTAGCCAAGAACTGTGCAACTCTTCAAAAATGTCTAGTAAAATTGTTTTGCAACTTGCTGACTCTCTCTCAAATGACTTAAATTTCAATGGGTTTGAATAGAGATCATGCTGGGTTGAACTATTTTTGGTAATATTATGCACAAGCTGAATGATGGAAAACTTCCAAATATCTAAGAGCTGATTCTTCTTTTAGAGAGAAGAGGTCAATGAGACATCTCATTGGCATCTCAGTAATTGGTCTCCAATGAGAATTGGATTGATACAAAGGGGTGGTTTATCAAAGACAAAATAGGGACCACTGGAATACCTCCAGGTCTGGCTGCATCTGTGGAGGTGGTCGGGGGGGGGGGGGGGGAAGATGA